AACCGCTTGGAAAATAATGCCAGTCAAGAGAAGCTTTATCTTAGGTACTATTGGTGCTATTATAACTTATGTTGCTCTTCTACATGGGTTTAAGCTTTCAATTTAATTGCTTTTATATTTTTCTACTCAACTAAATGAATCCTGCTAGATTCGATTTTATTAATTGATTTCCACCCAGAAAGAAATTAACCAAACGGCTTCGAAAATAATGTCGAACAAGAGAAGCTTTATTTTAGGTACTTTTATAATTTAAGTTGCTCTTCTACATGGGTTTAAGCTTTTAATTTCCTTGATTTTATATTTTTCTGTTCTATTAGCTTTAGGCTATAAAATATTTAACAAAAATTACACCAGCTATTCAAAATATACCGAGTAATGCTTATTAAAAGTATAAAAATATCTCTAACGAATTATTTTTTTATTCTGCTCATTAGACTCTAAACTTGCAGAAACATGCCTCTTCATATATATGTTTTATTTCTTCTTCTATTTAAGTATTGTTACAACTTCTGTTGAATTAGATGTTTTATTGGAAACAATTTGTAAATGTGTCTTATTTTAAGTTGAAGTCATATTTAGTTTTGCAATTTGACTTGCAGTTTCAAAATGTGTATTTAACTTATTCCTTATCGAGAATAACCTTGTTCAGAGAGTAGATATTATCTGCTTAAAAATTGTCTATATTTCAATATTAGAGATCAACAACTTCAAATTGGAATCAATGATATAATGCTAAGTGCTAATTTAAGAAGGTTCTATAAAATAAGTCACCAGAGATTAGTTTCTGACTAAAATTTTGAATAACAATTGTTTTTAAACTATATTATCTGTAGTGTATCTTTGTTTGGTTGACAACGTCTTTTATTTTTAAATCTAATTTGAAAATAGTCTTTTCTGAAAAAGTAGTTGAAAAGAAAATAGTTATTTCATTTAATTTTTTTACGGTACATAATTTTTTCAAAAATTTAACAAATATACATAATCTTTTTTTTACAAATTTATTCAGCGTATTTAAATTGAATAGAATTTAGTTAATTAAGTTATCTGTTGTACTCTGAATTTATATTCTCTTAAATATAAGTTCATCTTTCTGAAGAAAAAAAAATTTTCTTCCTAAAATGTGCATATTTTTCTTTTTTTTTCTTTTAAATATATTATTAGGTAAGGTTCACATATATATTTATATACATTTCTGAAAATCCTGTACTTATATTAGTATGATGTCTAAGTTTGATTTTAGAAATGTTTAAAAAAATCCGAAAGTTAAAATGCAAAATATTTTTGATGAATTTATTGCATTGTTTAAGAAAGATGACAAATTTATGGGTTTTTTTTTAAATCAATACTAGCTACCATTTAGTATTATATATAAACATTTGCTATGAGTTTTATAGAACATTTAGCATAGACGTAGCGTGAATGAAACTTTTGAGGAGGCTTGCGGTTTTTTTGTTATTTTTCTATTAATTGGAATATATATATATATATATATATGTGTGTGTGTGTGTGTGTGTGCGTGCGTGTGTGTGGATTGGAGCTGCTGTTACAATATTGTAGTGTAACAGCTTCGAACATTGCGTCATCCAACATCTTGTAATATTAAAAGAAGTTGCATCATTCTCTTGACATTGAGAGGCGCCATCCAGTCCAGAAGGGGAACTCCTGAAGGGAAACTCCCGAATTTATAATTAACTCTTACTTTATACCGTAGAACAATCTAATTTCTTATACACATGCATTCCGGAGACCACTGCGCGAAGGCAGCTTTCACGAGTCATGTCAATAATGTTAAACTTATCCTTCTATCCTTTTTATTTCTATTAAATTGTAAGTTTGTTAAATCATCGTCGTTAATTACTCCTATGCTGCACTAACTCCCACAAATATATGTATAGATACATNATATATACATAGACAGATAAATATAGAAACATGCATAAATAAGATACAAAAACGTACTTAGAAGAAACATACCTTTTTTCGACAAATTGGGATTTTTGACCCTCAAGATACCTAATCAAGGAAATATGTTCCCGAAAATTATATCAAAAGATAGGTCCAAAGTTTGTACCCCTTAATTAGAATATAGTATTTTTAAATAATCAATTTTACTTTCTGCATATATTTTGCTGAATCTCGAAAAAATTTTAAACGAATTGAACAATTTTTGCACACAACTATAAAATTTGTTTATCCCAAGATTAAATGCATGTGCAGAATAAATTTTAGTAAATATTTATTATTTTATTTAGTAACAGTCGAAAAAAGTAAAGTAAAAGTATAATTACATCAAAGGGTCCAAACTTTGAACCGCTCTCTTGATCAAACTATTCAGGCCATAATTCACATATTCCCCCGTATTTTAAGGGCCAGATATTTGAATCATCAAAAAAAATATATATATATGTTTATTCCGAGAAAGTACGTTTCTGTATCCAATTTTGTACCTTAAAATATTGTCTACACTAATTAATTATCATATTTGTGGTGACTCTTCCAACAATTAAGATCGAGTCCTAGAATGTGAAGATTCGATCATTGGATCAAAATTTACTCAAGGTAATCCGGAATTAACTTATTTACTTATTGTGCACTGTACAATTATATTTCAAGAATTGATAATATAAAAGTTTCTAAGTGTATTTTTAAACAATCAATTATATGAAAAAAATTATTTTTAAGTATTGAATTTTTTAAACTTTTCCTTTCAGTATTTGTCTAATATCTACTAATATTTACTTCTTTAAGTAAATGTAAGGAAATTGTTTTTATGGGAGTATTTATTTTCAAACATAAAATTGTGATTGAAAAATAAAACAAAATGTGATGCAATTCTAGCTGTCACAAAATATATTTTTAAAAAAAGAGTAGCAGGAATAAAATTAGTTCAGGCTTATAATTAGTGATCTGATTGCTTTAACCACAGAGCCCAAAACGTGTTTTACAGATTTAATTCGTATTTAACTACCACTCAGAAGAGAAAATCAGATCCAGAACTTTATTAAACTATGCAATTCCCTCTAAATCTAGAAGAATAACATTTTTACTATGTGCAATAATGTGCCTTTTTTTTCAATCTTTTCAGTTCAATCCGATGGTAGGTTAAAAGATGTGATAATCAAATACAATAGTTTATAGCATATCCTATTGAAACATGCCACAAATTGGTAAGTTACATTCAAAATTAATGAAATTAAAACTAATTTAAAAAGGATATTTTATATGAAATGGAACTTATTGGTTAAAATTTATACAAATAAAAAACATAAATATTTCATCAGCTTTTACCTAAAAATTTATAATTAAAACAAATCAGAATAAAAATGTAAAGTTCCAAGCAAAATGGAAGTTGTTTAATGCTATAAAACAAAAACAACTTAAAATGATACTTAAATTTTTGGACAGTCACAAAAAGTAAACAGTGTCTTTAAAAATTATTGCACACTATAAACAGAAAAAAAATTGTCATTAAAAAAAAATTATATTGTGCATACACTAACCTAAATAATCACAATTATAAGACACATTAATACTCATCGATATCAAATTAAAAATCGTTTAGTAATATTCAGAAAATTTTAAAAAAATTCCTAAAATGGTTTTTAAGATACCACTTACAACGAAAAGTGATAAATATAGAATTATTTCGTTAAATTATCAATAAACAAGTCATTAAAAAAGTTATTAATTATGTATTAAACTAAAAATAGTTTTTTGGTGTTAAAGTAATAACCTTAAAAAAATTCTGAAGTTTTGAAAAATTACTAAGAAGGCCCCCTTAGTGCTACGTCTATCAATTTAATATTATATATAACGTTTGTTATGAGTTATCTAATTATTAAAAAATTTATGTTATAGTATAATGTTACATGTAGTTTCATCTTTATGCACCTAGCAATTCTTAAAAAGGAATGGTTAAAAAAAACTTATATCATATAATCATTATATATATCATATCACTTAGATAATTATATATATATAATCTTAGAAATTTAAATTTTTAACGCATTTAAACCTTAGAAGTTTTTAAAAAACATTAACTTTTAATGCTAAAGTAGATGAATATATATTTCAACAAAAATTTCCTTTTAAGAAATCACATTTTTTTAAGAACACCAGTTCTTGATCTATGAATCTATAATGAGTGTGCGTGTGTATATAAGTATACAAGAAACTATAAATCAATCTACCCATGGTAAAGAGTATCAATTGTAAAGTAAAATTTTTATTTTTTTCTCTATTTAAAAATTTATCATATAAGTTAATTATAATTTTTTGTTAGGAATTATTTTTATAATTTTCTTGGGCTTTACAAAATATAAATAAACTACAGTTTTCCTCAAATGACAAATTCCTGTTAATTTTATAAAATTTAATCTTAATTGAAAAAGAATAGGCTTAGGCATAAATACAATAAAGAAAAAATAAAATTGAAAATATGGAAAACTATGACTTTAGTTTTGTTTTTCGTGTGAATGAAAACAACTTTAGTTCAGTAAGCATTAAACAAATATTGTTTCAAAAAAATTAATATTGTATAAAGAAAAGAGACTTCAATTTTAAAAATATACTTAGATTGTTGATACTTTTAAAAACTAAGCTCACATTTAACTTAAATATTAAAAGTAATGTTCTTTTAACAAATATAATGATAACAGATTGTTAGAATAGAGTTTTTAAGCTTTTTAATAAAAGTAAAGTGCAATATTGGGATTGATTTGAAATCTTGTGACCATTATTATGTAACAAAAGCTTTAAAAAAATAACAATAAAAAATTATTTTACGTATCATAATTATTATACATATTATAATTATTATATATATTATAATTTTCTGACTGTTTTAATAATAACCATTAATGCGAGATTTTTTTATCCTTGTTACACCATTACCTTATCTAATAAGATGGGAACTGATTTCTAGGCATTTAGTAAAATGTAGGCTAAATATGAATTACTGTTAAAAGGTTAAAATTAGCACAAAATGACACTCAAAGAGATTAATTAGAATAGTTTTATTATTCCCCAATGCAAACAAAATATTTGCATTAAATAAATGATTTTTAATGTGACGATCAATCATACAATACATATTGGGTCTCTATCGACTGAGGAAATATTTAATTTTATATTTCTTAACTGAGGCTGTAGCAAATCAGCTAAATTTTTCAAATATCCTCTTTCACTGTTAGAATGTTCAACTAAAATTATGCTGGTATTGTTATGTATAGCATGTAACACTTCGTGGTGAGACATTTCACCAGTAAAATAAAGATCTGCAGTTACATCCTTCAACACACTTGCACCAGATCCAGCACAGACAGCTATAGTTTCTATTTCAGTATCTAAAAATATGCAATTATATACAATATTAACATAACAAAATAATTGAACAGTTAAACATAAAAAAATTTATAATAAAATACAGATTAGAATGACGGATTTCAAAAATTTATAACGGAAGAACAGTTAAGGTTAACATTACAATTTTTTTGAAGTATTTTAACATGGAAACATTGAGTAACAATATAAATTGTTTTTTTTCCTTTGTAATGCTTTCATTTTTGTATGACATCAGAGATAAAAATTACAAAAATTCTCATGACTGAAAGTAAATAAAATATGCATTTGATTGAAAAAAATAAGTTATCACAAAAGAAATAGCTTTTGAACTTAATTGATACTGTAAATATAAATCATGGACATTTGGCCAATTATTAGCTATACCAATTAAATTTCTTAAATATAATATTTTCCCTTTTTAAAAAAATATAAAAACTAAAAAAAAAGGTTTCTTTTTTTAATTTTAGAACTGCAAATACTTATTATAGTTCTTGCATACTTAATTTTTAAAAAATTTATTGTTTATTTTGAGTCGGTAAACGATATTTTTAAAACACACTTATTTCGATAAGATGTAAATGTAAACAATTTAAGACCTTGAATGTTGTTTTAAATTTATCCATTTTATAACACATGAAATCAAATGTCAAACATATTCCTTAAAGCATTTAATTGAGCATGCAGCTGTATTTAATTGTTTAACGATGTCAAAGATATTTCAATTGACGTTTTTTAACAACCAAAATGATGAGGTAATGTAAGGATAATTACTAAGCTCTTTTATTTTTCAAGTTTAATGTATATGAAACACAACATTCATAATATGTTTGTAACATTTATAAGGTTATGAAGTTTAACATTTATAATTTATGAAGATAAAACTGTTTTTATAATATTTATTAGAAAAATAAAAATGTAGTAAACAGATTTCAGAAATTTTAACTTTTTGTGCAGCCACTTGAGACTAAAAGTAAAAAAAAACACTGCTTTAAATACACTTTTATTGTACCAATACAGAGTTATTTTTTTCTGAATCAGATATTTTTTTTCAAAACCCTTTAACCCATTTAGTTTATAAGTAAATTTGTACAAAAATCTCTTTGCTAAACTCAGCATTGACATTAAATAATTTGTGGGAAAACCAGTTTTCTGAACAAGAAAACAAATAGATTGTATTACAAATTAAATTTAAAATTGACAGCTAAAGTGTTCATTTTTTTATTGGAATATGAGACACGGGCAATGCATTTTATTCAATGCTTTTAACATAGTTAAAACAAGTGTTCTAAAAGTAAACACTCTAAAAAAAATTCATGAAACACTAATTCAATCTATATAAATCTATGTGCAGAGAAACAGAAAAAAAATTCTAAGGTATATCAGAAACTCGTTTAGAAACACCTCTTAAGCTGATATAATGAAGATATTGATAGTTAAATGGTGATAAAAAATAATTTTTATGGCATCAATAAAGCCTATTTTTGATAGTTCAATAATCATAACACAAACTTTACAATTTGACTTCACAATGAAAAGGATTTTACAGTTTATGATAAATAATTTGAAAGATTGAAATACTTAAATTTGTAATACAGAGATGAGAGTAGTTTGAAAGTAAAAGAGAAAATTCAAGAAAATATATATATGTACAGTAGGGAATCGATTATCCGGAGCGATCGGGACCATCACTATTCCGGATAACTGATTTTTCCCGTTTTCTGAATCGCTACAAAAAACCGTTTTTTTATTGTTAAACCCAACAGAAACAAAAAAATTTGGAAATAATCTTAAAAAGAAGAAAAAAAGATAAAGTAATACACTAATGATTATTTCCAAAATGATGGTAAGGTAAACATCTTTCAAAAAAGAAAGAAAAATCCTAAAATCTTATGAGGAAAAATATTTTTTTGAAAATGGCGGGAAAATGTATTGACTTTCGTTCCGGTTTTTTGGTTTTCCGGTTTTCTGAATTCCGGATAACGAGTTCTGCACTGTATATATATATATATAAAAATTTGATAAAAAAAGTGCAATTTTTAAACTTGTAAACCATGTGATTATAAATCCCGATGATTAATTTTAAAATTGCATGAATATATAAATATGAATCACATGCATGATTTTAAATTAAGAGAATATGAATCCCGAAATGAGGCTTTTAAATCACGTGAATATGAAACTCTATATCGAATTTAAAAAATGCGATAATACAAATCATGATGTGTAATTTTTAGATCACGTAAATACGAATCAAGATGAGTAATTTTTAAAAAGCGCGAATACGAATCCCACTGTCTAATTTTTAAAGCAAGTAAAAATAGGAAAATCGATGTTTGATATTACAACCACAAAAACGAATCACAACATTGGATTTTAAGCTCGCGTGAATACGAATCGCTACATAGGGTTTTAAAAGCGGGTAATTACAAATCGCGATTTCGGATTTTTAAAAAAATCTCGTAAATAAGAATCGCGATGTACGACATTTAAATCACCTAATTAAGAATCGCAAGGTTCAACTTTTAAATCAGGTAAATGCAAAAATCAATGTTTGAGGGAGGAATGAGGACTTCAGTACTTTCGCTTCGCGTAAAATTTAATTCCTCATAAAATATTTTAACTTGTGCAAAAAAAAATTTCAGCGGAAATTAGCTGGAAAAATCTGAAAAAAAGCGTAAATCCGCGGAAGAATCACACTCCTGGTAATAGGTTTTAAATTTTGGAATGGTAAAAATACAGTCCAGAATATCAATGTATCTGTAGTTAAAGCCCATAAAACGTTAATAACTTATGTTCAATAGTAAATTTTTCCATAAATTACTGAAAGTTCAAAAAATAAAAACATTTTAATAAATGTATTATAAAATATAATAAACAACAAATATAATAATGAAAAAATAAAGTATAATAATGAATGAATGTACCTAACGAATGTTTCACACCGAGCGAAAATCTAACATGAGCTAGATTCAAATAATTTTTCACCAGATCTATGCAATCCTTCAATTTTAATGAATGCTTCAGTTTAGCCACTCTTCCAACACCCTTGATTGAATTCTTAAAAGAAATAAAACAGAGTGTTAACGACACAATTATAATTTTTTACTCTAGATTTTTATAATTTATTGTTTGCTTTTAAAATGATAGCCTCTTAAGAACTATAATCTCAATGCATCTCGAGCACTCTATTTAATCATTTTTGTTTTAAATATTCCACTAAAAGAAGTCTTTCTTAACAAAAACATCACAAAAATATGTGATTACAAGAATTACAGGATATTGATTACTGCAAAAAAGTAATATAATAACGATAATGCGTAGTATGACATGATAATGCATCTATTTAATCTTTTTTTTAATTTCGCTAACAAACTCTTTCACAACAAATAATCACAAAAATTTACAATTACCATAATTACTTAAGTTTGATTATTGCAAAATACAAGTAACATAATAATGATACTGAGTAGCATTGCATGCTAATTAATCAAGCGATTTTATTTACTGATTGAAGAAAACTAGCAAAAATTTTTTTTCAAAATTGTTTCAAACAATCATGTAATCACATAAAACTAAAAGCAATCAATAACACAATGTCATTCATGTGAGGTTGCATAAAATTTTCAAATTTATAATAATAGTGTCTAGATTACTCGCATCATTAATCATCAAAATTAAATCTTTTCATATCAATGTTAATATTTTTGTGGTATACTATACAAAAATACAATAGCTTAAAATTATGTATTCTTAGATTTAGAATTGCCTAAATTTATCAGTTACAGTTTGAATACTATTTAAGATTAATCTCCGAAATAATTTATCAGAAGTGGTTTTTTGATCGCTTTTATAATTAGAAAATTTTTTTATTTGTAGACTTTTTATACTAGCTTTCAAACTGTAAGAAACATAAGGTGAATCAAAATTTACTTTTTGATTAGATAGAATCATACTTATTAAACCTATGATTTCAACAACTTATGATGTAAATTAGGAATTTAACTTCATGTTTTTAATCATTTTTGTTTTAATAAGTAATTTATATTTTCAGATCTAATTAAGGTCCATTTTTTGCAATTTTAATTTTCAAAATAAAATTATACATTCCTTTAAAAAAAGGATAATTCTTTCACTAGTCGAACTAGTAGCTAGTTATTTATGAGAATACCTGTAGAGCATTTATAATTATCAGAAATCTTGCTGAAAAATGTTGCATTCTTTTTTAAATTTTTTAGATGTAACTCTGCTCGTGAGCTTGTCATTATCATATCCATAATATATAGACGTTTAATATTTATAAAATAATTTCATTGCACAAAATATCCAAGCTGTAAAACCTTATACTTACAATCCTTGATGCAGATTTAACAGAAATAAATTCTACTTCATCTTGGCATGAAAGCATTTTAAACGCACGCCAATGAGGTAGGTCGGATGATAGCCTCACAAACTGTGTTTCTTTGTGTTTACTCAAAAGGAAAAAAGAGAAAAACATTAATTAACAGTTTTTATAATAAATGCAAAAGTATTTTAAGATTCTACAATCCTTAAAACTTAGTTTATGTAGTATAAAGTACCATTTGCACGTTTCTCATTCTTACATCATTTTATTGCAGTCCCAGTTTATTCCTAATCTATACAATGATAGTTATTTCATTGCTTTCATAATTAGAAAAAACTTTAATAGTAGATTCTTTACACTAACTTTTAAAAAAGTAACAAACGTAAGAATTGAGTTTGAAAAAAAAAATGGATTAGATAGACTAAAAGGATTAGAATGATTAGATAGAGTAAAAGTAACAATTTAATTTGGAAAATTAAAGTAAAAAAAATAGTATGCATAAAATAAAGAAGCTGACAGACGATTATTTCTGCTAACTTATGAAAAATTATTTATAATACCAATTATAAGTGAACCTAAAAAATTAGGCATATATTTAAATATAAAGCATTAATATTAGGCATATATTTAAATATTATTAGAATAAGGAAAGTAACATAACTCTCCTTATTCTAATAATTTCCAATTTATATTTTAAATCAATCAATTAGCCAATATAAAATTTTTGGTAAAAACAAATAGATAGCAGTTACAAATAACAGTAAAAAAAAGTAAATAAATGATAGTATAAACCATATGAAAATATAATTTTCAGTAAGAAAGAATTGCATAACAATTTGCCTTTTATTATGTTTGTATAACGACTGACAAAATAGCAAAACAAATTAAACCATCCAAATAGAAGTTCATATAATAAGTTCAATATAAGTTGAGTAATTCATTTTTAACAATATACTTAAAATTATTTTGTTTAAAAATTAGAATATTACACAAACTTCCTACATAATATGAAAATGTGGTCACATGCAAATAGAGTATGACACCTTTACTGTTCAAACTTGTATAAGGGATGTGTCCCAATAACCACCCTAAGCAGTCATTCTCAAAATCCATATCAGATATGATGACAAAAAATATACATATTATGGATTGCAAATTGATACGTAAGCAAAGAAAACATAAAAATGCTATTAATCTTTTTATATAGCTGGGAAGAATACATAAGAATGTTTTAAGTCAAACACAACATTAGGTTTATTTAACATCAAATGATTAATAAAATTTACAAATATAAAATAAAAAAATGAAAGAAATAAAGTCTAGAAAATGATTTAAGGTAGAATTAGTTTAAAAAAAACGCTTTAAATACTGAATTAAAAACCATAATTTTTCTTGCTCCCCCCCCAGCTCCAAAAAAAAAGACATGAAAACCAGCTTTTTAATTCCCAAGCTTAAACCACAGTTTATTTTTTATTCATAAGTAATAATACAGTGGAATGTGTAATTTTTTTTTTAAATTTTATTTAAACTTAATCACATTTTGTGGAAAATATATGACAAAAATATCAATACAATAGATTTTTTAGAAAATGGGATTTAAAAAAAAAACAGAGCTTTAGGCCCCCCACCTAGGAGGGTTAAATTCATTCAGAACACATCTCAGTAAATTTATACTTGCATTTGTGCATATTTAATATGTGAAATAATTTTTACCAAAGATGAACTTAGGCATACTTAGAACAATGCAAAGCAAGTACAGTATTTGTTTTTAATTTATAATTTGTAAAATCAACTATTTGCTATAATAATTAATCAAAATATTGGTGAGCTGCAGATGTATTAGTTTTATACATAATATTAATGGCAACAAACATGTTTAAATAATCATACAATACAGTTACTTCTGAATAAAGTTAGATTTATTATTATCAATTAAAAATGTGTCTTACTTCAAAGATATTAAACTAAATCCACCAATATTTCTCAAGAGACTCTAAATATTCACATTGTATGATAATTTAAATTCAAATATGGCATTCATATAAACAAAGACTTGCTAAATTTGAATGGCATGAATATTACACTTTTATGAAATTCCAAGTTCTATAACACATACTTATAAATAAAAATAAACTATTCATTTTTCACACTTTAAATTGCTTTAAAACACAATTCAATAGACAAAGATACATAATTAGTGCATTTTTGAGTAGTAAGAGACATTATTTTTATTCCTGAGAAATATTAAAACATTCGGACCAATAAATCATAATTAAAATTTTTATGTATCTATATTTTATAAAGTAATTATTTATTAAAATAATTAACAGTAATATTGACTATGTACAGAGAAGCTGACCAGCATTCCGACAAAACTAAAGTAGTGGTATAGCAAAGTCTATAAAATGATCTTTGATACTCATTGCTTTACCTTTTCAGTTAAATATTCTGAGAACAGAAATCCCAAGAAGAGAGCAAGGATAATGTTCTTTTTTCTTTTTTTTTTTAATAATTGGAAAGGTAAAGTGGTGAGTGGATGCTTAAGCAATCATACGATAAGGTTAAACCATATCATAATAAATTTAGAACATAAAAAAGAATAATAAAAAACATATCTTACTATACTGATATTAAATCAAAACCAAGAAAATTTTTCATGAAGTTGTCTATATTTATGTTGTTTGGTAAAGTAAATTCAAAAATGGTTTTGCTATCTGAAAAGTCTTGCTTGGTTTGAACAGCACAAATATCGCACACATCTGAAATTATAAATTTTTATGAAAAATAATTTATCATGACAAATAATCTTAAAGTTTGTAATTTATCATAACAAATAATCTTAAAGTTTGTAATTTATCATAAGAAATATTATAAAAGTAACACTAAATTTATTAACGGCCAGTTTGTTTTTTAATAAAATTCCAAATTACATTATTTTGTTATTTAATCAGAAATTACAAAATTTACTTAAATATGTTTCTTAACAAAATGTATAAAATTTATATTGTGCATTTCTATTACTATTCTATAATTAGAAAAAAAGTTATGTAAAAAAGGGGAAAATGTATAGTTTTATATAAAACAGAAAAATGTAAATCTATTATACTACTAAATAACAAAACTTATCCTTGCCTTAATATACTATTTCAATTGTATGTTTATATTATACAATACATGTTTTTGGTTCAGGATTTAAACCTTAAGCAATTTTAGATCAAAACTTTTAATAAATAAAAGATCTTTTAAAACAGTTGATTAATTTATGAAATAATTTATGAAATAATTTATAATGAATCTAATTTTATTTATAATGAATCTAATTTTATTTATAATGAATCTAATTTTATTTATAATAAAATAATTTTATTTTATTAATAATTAACAAATTTATAATAAGCAGGAAAGTTTTAATCGAAAAAGTATGTAACAAAAATATTTATGATGCATTTGAAAGATGAATTAACACATTTTTATATTAAAAATATTTAGAAATTCTGGTTTGAACATACTTTTTTTCTTAGCACAAACAAATTTCCAACATAATTCCAACATAACAGATTTCTGTTCATTTTCTGTAAAAGCAGGTGAATACAGAAATGCATGACAACCTGACAACACAAAGTTTTACCATTTTCTTCACCTGATGCATAAACATTGAACATGCTCACTGAGGTATTTTTCCTAAACTGAAATTCTCATTTTCTTTTTCATTATCATGAGTTACTGGTTTTAATCTCAAAATAAAAGCACTTATAGATTTTTTTAAATGTCAGTAGAATTTCTGTACGAAAAATAAGGATGAATCTGTGAGATTCAGAATTGTTCTAAGCGGGTATTTAACATTTTAAGAATAGCAAGTGTAATGAGACTGTTAAAATCAAATGATACATAAAGAAAAACATTAAAAGTAATAGAATGATGGATCGAGATCCGGCTATGCAGTTTTGAACGTTGGAAATTTTAGATTCTTACAGATAATAGAGAATGTAGAAGATTAAAGATTAATAATTAATAGTTAATTCAAATAATTGAGTTCATACAAGTCTATCTAAGTCAAATAATTCTAGTTTATTCAAATAATCAAGTTTTTAGATTTATGCTTTTTGTTATGAATAATTTTGATAAACAATTTTTTATCTCATTAATCACAGTCATAGCCAATTTTTATTTTAGAAGGTCTTTAATTTATAATTTCAATTCTTCTAGAAAACTTTGAATCAATTATGTTCCTTACTATTTTATAGTTTACATTATGGAAATAAAAATTAGGATAATATTTTAAAATCAATTTAGTTTCAAAAGCATAATCATTTTTCGATAATTATTAACCATTTTATAATCATCATATTTATCATTTTTTCATGCAACATAATCTAAGAAATCAATAAGGAAAAAAATGATAAAAAAAATATAAAAAACAGATAAAAATATGGATAACTTTGTCAAAATACATCATACTATTGATAGAATAATTTAAAAGATTATCTCTGCTGTTTTGAATTTAAAGGTTTCTAATATCAAATATCAAAAACATTATACAATCATGATTCAATATTTAATACAAAGGCTTCCTTCAAAAAACTGTACCTTAGAAAGCTATTTCTCATTCCTTAGGTTTCATATCGAACTTTGGTTGTATGTATAGACTTCAAAAATCAAAGCACATCCAAATAAAAAACAAATAATAAAACTCATTTTAGTTAAGTTTTTAAGTTTTCACTTACCAAAACACTTAAGAAGCCAATCATTAACACCACCATCAACTATGTCACAAACTGTGTGAGGAGAATACACAGCAATAGAATTTTTTATGCATTTCATAACAATTCGATCTTTCCAATTGTCTGATACAAGCTTCGGTAAAGGACTGAAAATTGGAGGATGGTAAGCAATAATCATATTTGCCCTTTGGCTAACGGCTTCATCCAGAACTTTTTCAGTCAAATCAATTGTAAAAAATATGGAAGATACCTGAATAAAAAGTAAAATCAAATTAGATGTAAGACAGAGTAAAAGAAAATATAAGATGGGTGTAGAAGTTTATGCCAGATATGAAACCAAGCTAAGTGCATGTTAGTTCAGTAAAATTAATATTTATTAATTATGTATTCTTTATTATTTTATCTAGCATCATTTCCTAAGATTTTTGTAAGAACTGTAATGGTTTCTTATTGAAGTAAGTTGTAAAGGAATAACTCTTATTAAATTATACTTGGTCTAGTGTTAACATGACACAGGATGTTTTTTTGATCAGAACTATAGCCACGAGATGCAGGTATGAGGGTTAATACCCTTTCCCACCACCAAATCAAAATAGTTGACAGAAAAATTCTTTTGTGTATAACGGTATTTTTTATTATAATAATTTTCCAAATTATTATAAATCAAAGCTGACTAACTATTTCTTTTAATATGGGGATATCTTTAAAGCAGAATACATTCTTAATAATTGAGAAAACTTAGGTTACTGTTGAGACTTGCAAGGGTAGTCTCAAAGTAACCATAGTTTTGAGTTTTGTAACATCCTAAAAAAAAATTATCCAAGTAATTAAAAAAAAAAAATTGGTGAGGAGATTTCTGTACCGTGATCTGTGGCAGAATAATCGCCAAGTCTGGGCAACTTCTGGGCAGTGGCCTGCAAGAAACTAAAAAAAATATCATAGAAAGGGACCAACTTGAAAGGTTTAACTCGTAGCCACCCCTGGGCAAACATCAACAGATTTTTTTTTTTAAAAAATGTGCAAGTTTAAAATCTATTTGGCACCTGGGCGATTGTAGTTGGCACGTCAGATCAAGATACGAAAATATCCCCAATTTTTTTTTTTGAAAATATCTCTAAGGAAAATTTTTTTACAATTTAAGTAATTATTAAAAAAAAAGTTTGTCAGAAAATACAAATGAAAAAACTTATTAAATAAATTTAAAAAAGAAACTTTGCACAGACTTTCACTTTTTTAAAAACTTTTATATGAAGCATGCAAAACTTTTTATTTGAATGTTTCATTAATTTTAAAGGACAGTGGTTGTAAACATTATCAACACGAAATTTTCAAGAAGTATACGTTTGTGATTGCAATAAAAAATTGTCCAATTAATAACATGGGAAGAGAAAATAACTTTGACAATGTTTAAAGTCAAACATTTTTATCAGAAACTCATTTTGAAAGATATTAGGCTTTCTTGGCTAGTAGTGGCTATGTAATGTTCCCCTACCTCAGAAAGGCAATATATATTTTACGTAAACTTTTTTTACATTAAATATCCAAAAAAGATCCGTTTGGCAAATTGGCGATTTCAGCTGGCTTGAAGTAAGAGAATAAAAAATATTTTATTACTAAACTCTTAAACCGTTCTCATCAGGAAGTATCTATCTTTCACAATATAAACCAGTTTAATAAAACAATGAAACATTAGTAAAATCTAAATTTAATTATAAAACCTTGCCTCAATATTATCATCTGGTTTGATAAGTAATCCAGTTTTATCCCATTTCTCAGCTAATTCGGGGGGTAAATTACTTTCAATAATTTTAATTACAGATTTTATATCCATAATACTTCGATAATATTCTACGTTTTTACCATATACTATATTACTTAATGATAACAAAGCTGTCTGCTTAGACAGAAAAGACTTATTGCTAATTGATTTGGGAAAAAGAGAAAAATATCTTTGATTTAAAACTTTTAATAATTTTAAGTTCAACAGTTTTCTCATAATCAATTGTTTACGCTTGGGTAAAAGTGACTCTTTTTAATTTAAACTCGTCTTTTTAATTTGGCTTATAGCTTAAATAGACGAACAAAGATTTTTTCATACAAGTTTCCAGAACTTTATAATACAGAAATAAACCACTTTATACTATGTGTTTTAAAAATGGCTTGACAAATGTGCACTTAAAAACATCGAAGCAATTGTCGTTCGTTTAATCTTGAAAGTTGAGTAAAGAGTAGTATAAAAAGCAAAGTTTAAACGTTGAAAACATTCAGTGCTTCTTTTTGACAATTCTCTTAATTAAACCATGCCCAATGTAAACACGTTTTCCAAAGTTGGGAAAGTAATATTATTTGTTTTTAATTAATTATTATAATCATAGCTTAGTACTTAGTAAAATGGGGAAGTTAAACGTTACGATATTTAGATATTTGTCCTATGAAGAATTTAGGGCTTTAACTGCGGTAAGTGAAGCTCATTTACGTAATAATTTTATGAACATTTATTTCTGATGAAACTAATTTAAAAGCAAAATTTAATTATTTAAGTTGTAGTTCTAACATATTTAAGTATTTGTTTTACTGATTTATAAGTTTTTATTTCTTTTTAATTTGTATAGTGATCCACTAAAAACAAATTTAGTCGTGACATATAAGACACATAACAAACATATTTTGTTGCAATGAGAGAAACATCACACAAAGTAGTGTCCTTTTTTATGTATCAATATTGTCTTTCCGTCCCGCTAATAAGTGTTTCAATTAAAATCTCTTCTCCAAATTTACTTTCATTTTGCAATAGTACCTTTTCTTAAGTTTTCAACTGCTTATCCAATTAATTGCTTACTACATTATTAAGAGATAGATTAACGCATTGCATGTCTCTTTATTACTTATTAATTCATAAATGGTTGGTTGTTATGTAGTTAAGTGAAGCTGTGATAATTGTCTTCTACATGACATCTAAAACATACTCTAAACTTGTGTAACAATACTAATATTGTGCAAAAAGTTATAAATAATTTTAATCAATGGATAATAATAACTAAATTAACTAATTTTAAACAAAACCAGTGATTAAAAGAACACAATATATTTCATACATAATTATAAATAAAAAAGAAACCAATAAAATACAATGAATACTTATTAATCAAATTAAATAAAAACATTTTGAAAATTACCAGCAGAAAGGATAGTTGAAAAAAGTGCTAACATATGTATTAAAACCCAGGACAATGCTGGATATAAAATCAACTGAATTTTTAAAGAAAAGAAGAAAAGAAAAGAAAAATTCATGAATAAAAAGAACTTAATCTATTGAGTACAATATTCATTGGGAATGAAAATGAAAAAAGAACTCAAAGCATAGGGGAATGTATTACTTTTAGAAAGAAAAAGCTGTAATCTGCTTTTAGCAATAAATGATTCAATATTTATATTAATGAACAATCCTCTATTTATTTTATAAGGGACGATTTTATATAAATAGCAATTTTTAACGAAAGCAGATGTGATTCTTCCTCTACTATTGTTTAAAAAAAGTCAAAACATGCAAATTATACTGTTTTCTAAAGAATCAGAATTTATTCCATTGAAAAATATTGTTTCATTTATAGATGCCAAATAAATATTACAGACGATTTAAAAAAAATTTGTTCCATTGCTCAAGCGTAAATTACGGTATTGAAAACAGAAGAATTGAATTCCCGAATTTAATAGAGTTTCAAATTCTCTGACCCCTGGTTTTAGGGAAAAAATTGTGTTTTGCCCTGACTTTTTTTTTTTTCGAATCTCGTTTTACCTGACAATTCCTAAGGAGAGCAAACCCATCATTTTACTTCCAGGCGATATTGTTGTTCAATTTCCCCACATTCGCATTCCCGATTTAGGATCCGAGTTTAGAAACAGTTTTAAGAGGATCTGAGTTAAGAAAAAGATTCATGTTTTTTATTTTGTTTTTATTTTTTAAATCTTTTCTTATAAGGATTGGCAAAACTTTGTCGCATTTTTCATTAAATGTTACCATTTCTTTTCCTCTTCTGAATCACTTAATTGATACCAATAATGAAAGTTTATTCGTTTCATTTTGATAAATTATGAATTTTAGTATTTGTAGTCTAGACGAAGCTTGATGGTTCTTAATCTTTTGGCACAGCCAATTATGTTTTGAGTTATAACTTACTAAATTATTTTGATTATTTTTCAAATGATAAAATTCAGCTTAGCCATATTCTTACTTTATTATTGAATTAAAAATAGCTGTGTTTTAATACTCTTCGTTTTGTAATTAATATTTTGTATTTCCAGAGGGATATATATAATTTTTTTTACCTTCTGTTCACTGATATTCGTTAAAGAGTGTGTATCTGTTTCTGAGTGCAGTAAAAATAATCTTCAAGCTATTATTGATGCTTAATTAATTGTTATAATAATTAATATTGGTGTCATGCCTCCATGTTGCGATGGCGCTGTCAGCAAATGTAGATGTTGTAAATAAAGATCGGGAGTTCGCACGTAGCGGCTGGAAAGAAAAGACGTTCTTTTGTTGGTCTAATTATTTATTTGGACAGTATGATATCACAGCACGCTTATCACAATTGGTATTATTTAAAATGCTTAACCTAATGTATCATTATCAGTACAACAACAGCTAATGCTTTTCTTTTAAGAAATTTCCAAACAACTCTCTGAGTGGTAATGAGCTTCCAGTTCTTTACATTTAGGATTCTTAAATTTCCTCTAAGCTGTGCTTATACATTGCTACATGACTTGTCTTCTTTTCCCCTGCATCTTTTCCACTCTTTCTACGGGGATCTAATCATTTAATTCTGAAAATATGAGCAGCCCAGTTTAATATATTGATTGTGATAAATTTAATATATCTGGATGCTTAAAAAATAAATTATAATATTAACACACAAATATTGGTTATTGTGTTAATTAAGATGTTTACTTCTCCCAAAATAAATGAAATAATTTAATATAATTATATCATAATAAAAATTTTATGCCAGAAATTCAGAATTTTAAATAATAAAAAAAAGGCGAAGCTTTCGCTTTGTTAGACATAGTTTTTCTTCTTCATCACCTATTCCTGTAATTTTTCGTACCGTCAACAGCCACTGTAATAATCTTTGTAACAAGAAAAACTGAGCAAAGTTGTGTGTGATAAATTGAATCGACATATTCCATTACAATGATAGACAGAAAGAAAATTATGTTTTGGTGTAGAGTTTTTATTTATAATATTGCTTATAATTTTTAGAACAATACCTATACTCGTGTTAATTTGGCCTTTTTTTTTTTTGTAACTTTTTATTTTATTGTTTTATAGATTGAAATGGGTATGAAAAATCATGAATTAGTTCCTGGAGCTTTGATTGCATCAATTGCTAATTTGAAGCATGGTGGTTGCCATAAGAGATTAATGGAGGTCACAAAAAATGGATTAGCTGCATATGAGAGAGGAAAAAGATGTAAATTATCATTATTTAACTCATTAAATTTATTTGTGTTTATTCTGCGTTGTATTCTAATATTTTTATAGACTTGTTAGTTTTCTAATATCTTAAAGGAAACATACATGAAAATCTTTCTGTATGAAATCTTTAGAATCTTAAAAAATTTAAACCAGATTTAATCTATATTTCATTTCACCTTTTGAAAATATAATTATATTTCTTCAAATGCTAGGTAGAATTTAAATTTATTTATCATAACAATAATAAATTGATGGTAATCATTGATAATAATTACTATCTATTAAATTATTATCATAAATTCTAACCTGAACATACAAGAAATCTAAATGGCAAGTAGCATTTATGGTCAATCATAAAATTAATTACTTACAATTTTAAATTAAGAATTATATAGTAATTATTGTGTCAGCACAAATTTAAATTTTAATGTTTCATTTATACACACACATATATATATACATATAAATAGATAATGAAGAAATATATTTTTATGCTGCATATTTCTATTTTTCGGAAAAATGAAGCAACTGACATCTTTGAGAAATATAAGTTTAAACATTTGGAATGCATTTAATTTATTTTCTTTTGAGTATTTTTTATTGATATTTTACAGTTTCTCTTAGATAAATGAGTGCCCATGGTTTTTTGTTTGATAAAAAATCATGTTGTGACAATTTCAAATTCGACAGCTACCTCACTTGAAAAAACTGTAGACTTAGTTTCCCAAAATGGTTATACAAATTAAGTCAGTCCTGTGTAAAATATGTATGCTGGATTTGCAATAAAAGAATACCCATTTTAAAAAAATTAATAGATCTGAAATGATTAGCAATAAATAGGTAAAATAAAATATCAATAGTAAGAACTGTTAGAATTTCTTACATGATTTTCAAAATCAGGTACAGAAGTTAGTTGCTTTAGAATGACAACTAAAATTAATGTTCAACCATGTATCTTTTGAACAAATTATGTATCTTTTTCATGCTGTGTCTTTCCTCCTTCTCTTCTTAAACAATTTGTCACAATAAGAATGCATAAACAGCAATATTTTGACTATGGAAGCTGTAAAAACTTGCTTTATTTATCAAGATAAGATACTAAAGTTATCTATTACCACTTTTACTTGAATGGTGTTAAATTAAAATTTATAGTCTGAATTTCTAAATGCATATGAAATCCTTATTTTAGATGATGGATACAGGCTAACTAATCCTGGTTATGATTATCTTGCACTTCGTGCTCTTTCTTCAAGAGATGTAATAGCCGCTGTTGGAAATCAGATTGGTACAGGAAAGGAATCTGGTAAGCTTTCTCTATTTTCTATCAATTAAATACTGTCCTCAAAAATGCAGCTCTTAGATCGTCAATGTTCAATCACCTTGTTAAACAGAAAATATTATGAGTGTACAGTAAAATATTAAGTTTTGCTTCTCTTTATGAGTTTAGAAAATGAGTGTTGGCTTGTTTAACTGTGATTTCGAATTCAGAATTGGTTTATAACTTTGAATTGGAATGTGGATTATAACTGTGTTTAGTGTCTGATTAAAAATAGTGTGGTGATTAAAAATGGATTTCAGATTATTCAAAGTAGAATGTAACTACAACTTCAAAATTTAAAAAAATAATCATGAATGAACTTAGCAAGCATATAAAATCTATCAGAGCATCTAAATATGACATTGTTCTTTGTTAATTACCTAGGTAATGATTCAAAAATATGTCTATTTTAAACAGAATTTTATTTGATGGCACCTAATCTTTTAATAAAATTTTTTATCAAAGCAATTACATTAAGTGTCACAATAGATGTTGAAATAATTTCTTCTAATATTTATAGATTTTCTAATTAAAGTACCTTCACTTTTTGTCATATACAAGTTAGTGTACAAGTTCAATCCTGAATTCACTCTTGTTGAAAATAAATTTCGAATTACTATTTATGAAGTTTTGTTTTCCAATGAGAAAAAAAAATTGAATGCAGAAAAAAAAATTTAATAATAATTATTGTAATAACTCAAACTTTTCAGCCCTATATAAGTTAGAATTTATCTATAAAATAAAATAAAATGCTGTGAATGTGATTAATTTTTTTCTTTTTCACTCTCACTTAATCTTTTAATAATATTTTACTTTTCAAAACAATTACATGAAGTGACACAATAGATATTGACATAATTTTTACTAATATTTGAAATTTTCAAGTTAGAGTAACTTTACTTCCTGTTGTAGTATACAGTAACCCTCCATTTTTAAACTTAAAATAGTGGATGCTGGTGCTGTGTATATTTAGTGTACAAGTCCAATCCTAAATTCACTTTTGTTCAAAATAAATTTTAATTAATTATAAAGTTTAGTTTTCCAATAGTATAATTGAATGCAGAAATATTACTTTTAATAATAATTATCAAAATAACTCAAACTTTTAAGCCCTATATAAGTTGGAATTTATTTATAAAATAAATGCTCTGAATGTGAGTAATCTTATGTTTTCTTTATGTTCTTCCTTTTAGAAGGATTTAACTTGAGAACTATCACAACTGTGTAATAGTTTCATTATTTTTTGTATTAGAATTTATCTTTAACATTAACTTTTTAGTAGAAGTAAGTTTTTATCCAAAAATCTACTTATCCAAATGTGTTACCAGTGTATAAATCTACTCCAAAAATTTTGTTGAAATATAAGAGTTCAAAAAATCGACTTATAGACGACTTATACAATTCTCTATCCTTTTATTAATTAATAAATTTTGTTTTACTTTTTTTCTAGACGTATTTGTGGTTACTGACAAAGATGGTAATCAATTGGTTTTGAAACTTCATAGGTATGATATTTATTATAAAAATATTTGCTCGGTTATTTATTTACATGGTTCATATTAGTTATTTTAAGAAATTCTTATATTGGAACTAGAATCTTGTCATGTTAGGACTTCTTTAAAAAACTGAAATTATCAGAAAATTCGGTTTTAACAATAAAATATTGTTTTCTTTAGCCAAAATCTCAAAAAACCCTACAACAAATCTAGAAAATAACCAATATTTAAGATTTACTACTATAATAAGTGGCAAGTGAGGTTTTATTAAATAAATCAAAATTGTTTTGCAATCATTTCTCATAAAAAAATTAATGCAACACCAAACTGATAAATTTTCTTAGACTTGTTAAAATTTTATTATTAGTTTGTCCAAAGTTCTCATTCTTTAGCAAGATTATGTTTCAAATAATATTCTTAATTAAAACTATATTTGTTTGCAATAAAAATATTCAATAGGCTGATAGTCTTGACATATTTTTTTTTTAAAAACAAAGTTAGTTTTGGTGATATTTGTATAAAAAATAATATATTTTTTAAGAAATAATGTTGCGTATTGCTCTAATTTCACCTGAGATTCCGTAAACCTTTTTAGGAAAAAGTTAAAAGGATCATGTTTAAAAATAAATATCTGCGCATTTAATAACATTCATGAGTTTTTATTATTTTTTGTAGTAGGCTTGAAACTAATCTTTATATTAAAGCTTTTGTCTTCGATAAAATGTTTTATCTTCACATATTCTTAAAAACTTATTTTCTTTTGGTAAATATGGCTCTCATAGCTCAGGCATAATTGCAGGGTTTGTAGTTGCCCTGATATTTCTGATTAAAAAATATATATAAATTTATCATGATTTTTAGCTCTTTGTCCTGATTTTTTTGTCTTCAGAAAATCCTATTTACTGAGATGCAGATTTTAAAATAATCTAAAGAATTGAAAGATTTGTAATTTTGATTCATTATCTTTTTGTTTTAATTGATAGTATTTGTTAAAATTTCAAAATTAGATAGTTTAAACTTGGGGGTTGTCCACTAATACAGAAATTAGAAAATACAAACTTTTTGATATTTTTTTTTAAAGCAACAGCATTAAAAAAAAAAAATTTAGTGATCTGAAACTATTACAAGTTGTTTAGTGCTCCATTAATAAAATTATGCTGAAAACTACTAAAACTTTTTGCTCTAAACAAAGTACTACTTAAATTAAAAATGGTTTATTTTATTGCCCTTTTATAATTAAAGTAGCTTTTATTACAAGTAAAAAGAGCAAGTTATATTTTTTATAGTTTTTTGCTTTTTTTAATTGTATCCTGGTATATGTATACTTTTCTTATTAAATATCCTAATTTTATTTGAAAAAAATATTTGTCTTAATTTTTTTTCCTATGCTCAGAACGAGGCCTGTGATTGATTGTTGTTTGATTTTTTTTTTTTTTTTTTTTTTTTTNTTTTTTTTTTTTTTTTGCTCTGAATATGTTATAAACATTTGTGTTAAGTACGTTTCGGCAACTTAAAAATTAGCTTCTCAATTGTCATCACAAATTTAATTGTCTTTTAAATAGTTATAATGTTTGACTTCTACACTGTACTCAAATTTTTGTAACTATTATATTCTTTGTAGTACTTATAGATTTCATATAAAAATAAATTATGTTTCAGGTTAGGCCGAACTTCTTTTCGAAAAATTAAAGAAAAAAGAGACTATCATAAACACAGAAACAGTGCTTCTTGGCTCTATTTGTCTAGATTAGCTGCTGTTAAAGAATTTACTTTTATGCAGGTATTTTATTTTCATCAAGAATATTAGCATAACTTTGTAATTGTTCTAATCTTACTTTAACCTGTTTGTTAAAACGTTGAAATTGAAAAAAAATTTAAGACTGGCTTTATTTTTGTGAATGCATGTAAAATTCGTGCTTATGTGATGAATATTTAAAATGTATTTTTAACTTTTGAAGGCTCTGTTCGACAGAGGTTTTCCAGTACCCAAACCAATTGATTTCAACAGACATTGCGTTGTGATGGAATTAATAAAAGGATTTCCTTTGTAAGTATCACATATTCTTGATTAAAAGGGTATTGATTTTTAAAATGTTGTGTTTTCTTTAAAAATTGCTTGAATTTTGATTTTTAAGAGCAATAGTACTTACAAATTACTAATTAACAAGTTTCATTCGATAAAAATAATATATGTTTCTGTATTTGTTTAGTTAAAATTATAACTGTATAATCAGAATTTATTTTTTGTCTCCTTTTTTGATTAAACTTTGTTGATATTGGTATGTTTTAATATATTTATACTATTTATGATACTTTTTTCTTTAATAATGAATTTATTCATAATTTTTATCAATAAAAACCATTTTGTTATAAAATTGTCTGGTATTTAATAAATTCATTTCAATAAATTTTGGTACCTAATTAGTTTTTAATTAACATGATGGATTAAAAACTACTTCTAGATCAGAAAGCTTTTTAGGGCTACAACTACTTAAAATATAATTTTGTACAAACTTAAATTGTAAACTTTAAAATATTTATGAATTGTAAAAGTTAATGAAAGATTCACACAGTTTCATTTTTAATAGAATTATTACACGATTTCTCATTTGGAAAACAAATATATACTATTGTAATAAACTTGTTTACTAGAAAACTGTACTTAACTGATAAAATCAACTTATATTTTTTTTAACTTTCATTTCTAAATCTGCCTTTTTGAATTTCAATGTTTCAGTTGGATGTTTTCATTGAAGTGAGTTTTAAATAAAATTTATCGAAAAAATTTTCAGACAATAGTATAGCTCTAGTTTATACCTTATTAAAAATTCAATTACATTGACATTTTAGGGTGAGTAGATAACAAATTTTGTACTAGGATATCTATTTACCTAATCTGATATATTTTGTTCACAAGTTGCACATGCTAATTTGCTTTGTTTAAATAAAATAAGAAAAAGTTTTAATTTGCAATAAAAATAAATTGTTATGAAGTCAAACATTAACTTCTTTTAACCTATTGGTGAATATTGTGGGAATTTTTTTCCGCTCGTTTGCCATTTATTTTAATAAAGCAAAAATTTTTTTATTATTAAAAATCTTTCTTTTTTCTATAATATTTCAGATGTCAGATACGTGAAGTTGATGATGTTCCAGCTTTATATGAAGAATTGATGAACCTTATTGTTAATCTTGGAAATCATGGTCTCATTCATAGTGACTTCAACGAGTTCAACATAATGTTGGACCCTAAAGGAAGACCAATACTAATCGATTTTCCTCAAATGGTGTCAACTTCTCATCCTAATGCTGAATGGTAATTTTTTTATAACTTAATTTGAAATACTGTACCCAATTTTTTTTATAAATTTTAATTTTTAAGAAACATAAAGTCGCATTAGAATCACATACATTGTATTTACATACAACTAGTTAAAAGGCTGTTCACCCAAATTCTATAATAAGTTACTCTTTATTGCTTTAGTTTTTAGAGTACTATTGTGATGGCAAGAAAGTGTTTTCTGTTNAGCGGGCACCTGTGGCGAAAACACGGCGATGGAGCAGCATCGCCCACGTCACACAACCACAAACCCTTTTTTAGGGCGGGTCACATTCACACAAAGAGGAAAGGACATAGAACACAGAGAGAGAAAGAAACATCCATGCCCTGACCAGGATTCGAACCCACTGCCAGTGGCTCCGCAGTCAGACATGCTAACCACTCAGCCACCTGGTCGGCGCACTGAAATTATAGTGGATAGTATTGTCTTTTTTTTTTCGTCAGGATTTAAATTTTTTGTTTGGGAAATTTTATAGTTGATACCTTTAGGTTGCTAATGAAACAAATTCCATGTGATTTTGTTAACTGCTGTCGGTTTGAATACAGAGTAAGAAAAGAAAAGTTTGACTTTTTTATTTTCATTAAGGCAAGAAAGTGGCTTATACCTACAAAGAGGTATGTGAAGCTTATGTTAGTGAGTGTTGAGCAGAATGCAAATGTCAGAATTGGTTTTAAAAATTTCATTCTTGAAATTTTTCTCTGAAAGATAACCAACATTTTGGTCAAACTTCTGAAGTTGATAATGACAAAATGAAAACCATAATTTAATAGAATCATCATATTACTGCACGAGAGATTGTAAAACAGTTAAATATATCACATATACATATAAATATTAGAAATTGTATAAGACGTTTTGGACTTTTTTGCTGATAAGAGCCAGAAAATTTATTGGCTAGGGATCATGAAGTTACCACAAAGATAGCAAAAGGTCGTGGAATAAAATAGATTATATTTGGCAGAATAAAGTTCATTTTTTATATTGCAAAGTTTATTCCACATTAAAATATTAAAATTACCTTCTTGCCAAAGTAATAGAATAGATTAAATACACAATATATTGTGTGTTAAACCTAAGCTCACCCTTTTAGTAATTTCACTATTACTCACCAGTCTGTTACAATAACCTAACATAACTATCATGGAGCAATAATCACGACTCTATGAAAACAATCATTAATTATTACCATACGTAAAATTCAATGGTAAATATGGCGTGTAAAAAGCAATTAATATCAGTTAATATTCCCTGTATCTTATTTCATATTTTAGCATTAAAATAACAAAAATTCTATAAGAATTCTATGTTTTTTAGCTTAAACTTTTCAATTACGAGATCAAAATCTAAAAGGTTGTATTTTAGATATTTTTGTTAAGTTTTTTTTTGGTAATGTTACAACCTGTACACTAATGGTTACAATGAAATTCAACCTTGGCTAAACTAACATTCCTCTGCATTTGGATTCTAGAAATAGGGAAAGAATCATTTACTAATTGTTTATTATTATTATTTTATAATGAAATTATTATTTTGTGCCTAAGTAAGTGTTTACCTAACTCTAATGTCATTAAAAGGTTCTTAAATCGAAATAAGGAAGCCCTCATCTTATTCAAAAAACAGCAGTCACTCTTCTTTCTAAATATGGATTGTATTTGATACTAAGTGTTCTAAAATCACAGTCTATATTGTAGATTTTTAGAACCCTTCTTGGGCACTTTGTAATTTTTTTTTTTTTTTTTTTTTTTTTTTTTTTTTTTTTTTTTTTTTTTTNTTTTTTATTATTATTATTATAACAAATGTAATGTTTTTTTACCTCCTTGTGCTTTTTTTTTCCTTGTTGAACAAATGAGAATAAATGCCATCTTGTTTTTACAATTTGATAAACATTATTACCTAAAATTTATTTAAATTATACTTTTTTCAGGTATTTTGATCGAGATGTAACTTGTATAAGGGAATTTTTCAAAAAACGTTTCAACTATGAGAGTGAATTATATCCAACATTTCAGGAAATATCGTAAGTTTAAATAACATTTGTTGCTGCTTCATTTCAATATGTCCTCACACAAATGAAAATTTATTCCAGGGTTCCCGCGGCCTTGAAAAAGTCTTGAAAAGTACTTGAATTTCATTTTGATTTTCAAGGGCCCCTAGAAGTACTTGAAAATGATATTAAATCCTTGAAAATTTCGAAATGACCTTGAAAAGTATCGAAAACTCAGGAAAACAGCCCTATTTCCAGTATTTCTATGTTTAACTTTTTGACGCGCGTAAGTGTGAGAGAATGACTTCCCCGTCTTTCTGATGATGACACTTACGGTTTGATTTTAGGATTTTATGTACGTTTGGCTGATTTTAGGAATTTTAAATATTGGGAACTGTGCTAGATTCTGACAAAATCTCGATTCTTATTCAGGCGATTTTAATATCAATCATCGATCTTCGTATTAGACTTATTTAAAAATTATGTGTTGCAGGGATGAAAGACTTCCACGAAAAAGCGGAAATCCGCTTTTTTCCCCCAATTTTGAAAATTTCCGACCATGTTCCAAAAACTAAAATTTTTG